GTGGTGCTGCCCGACAGCAGCGTGTTGGCCATGAAGGCCGCGCCGGCCAGCAGGTCCGAGGCCGCCAGGTTGCCGATGAAGATGTACATGGCCAGGTGCAGGCGCTTGTTGCGGCAGATGGACACCAGCACCAGCAGGTTCTCCAGCACGATGAAGCAGCACAGCACGACGATGAGCACGGAGCCCACCCAGCGCGAGGGCGCTGCGGCCTCGCCGCCGTCGCCCTTGGTGAAGTTGTAGTGCTCGCGGATCTTGTCGCGGTTCCAGTATTCCTTGTAGATGCTCCCCATGGCGGTGGCAGGGGGCGGAGAGGAGGACGAGGCTCAGCGCCGCCGGGACATGGCTCCTGGGGACAGAAATGTCACCTCTGTGTCACCAAGGACACCCCAGGCTGACCCGAGGCTCAGCGCTGCCGGGACGGGCAATGTCACCCTGCTGTCACCCAGGAGGCCCTGAGGTGACACCGAGTGCCAGGAGGCCCTGAGGTGACCCAAGGCCAGGGACATGGCTCCTGGGGACGGAAATGTCACCTCGGTGTCACCTCTGTGTCACCAAGGACACCCCAGGCTGACCCGAGGCTAGGGACATGGCTCCTGGAGATGGAAATGTCACCCCATTGTCACCTCTGTGCCACCAGGGAGACCCTGAGGTGACCTGAGTCTAGGGACGTGGCTCCTGGGAGCAGCAATGTCACCTTGTTGTCACCAAGGAGACCCTGAGGTGACGCTGGGCAGGTGACACCAGGTGGCAGGAGGTGACACCGGGTGGCGGCAGGAGGTGACACCGGGGTGGCAGGAGGTGACACCGGGTGGTGGCAGGAGGTGACACTGGGGTGGCAGGAGGTGACACCGGGTGGTGGCAGGAGGTGACACCAGGGTGGCAGCAGGAGGTGACACCGGGGGGTGGCAGGAGGTGACACCGGGTGGTGGCAGGAGGTTGCAGACATCCCGGGGGAGGGAATGGGGCGGAGCGCCCGGGGGGCTGGACAAGCGCGGGGTGGGGACACCGGGGATGTCACCGCCGGTCCCCGTGTCCCCCCCGCCCGGATTTCGGGACGGGAGCCCCGGTAAGGGCTCCCCCCGTTCCTCCCGGTGCGGGACCCCCGAGGGTCCGGACAGGACCGAGGGCCGAGGCGGGGCAAGGAGCCCCGGGGCCCTCCCAGGTCCCGGGGGCGTCCCGGAGCCGTCCCGGTACCGGCGTCGGTCCCGTCCCGGTGCCCTCCCGTGCTGGTGCCGTCCCGGAGCCGTCCCGGTCCCAGAACTCCCCCGGTGCCTCCCCGGTCCCGCCCCGGAGCCGTCCCGGTCCCAGAACTCCCCCGGAGCCGTCCCGGAGCCGTCCCGGAGCCGTCCCGGTCCCGGAGCTGCCCCGGAGCCCTCCCGGAGCCGTCCCGGAGCCGTCCCGGTCCCAGAACTCCCCCGGTGCCGTCCCGGAGCCGTCCCGGTCCCAGAACTCCCCCGGTGCCGTCCCGGAGCCGTCCCGGTCCCGGAGCTGACCCGCTCCCGTCGCGGAGCCGTCCCGGAGCCGTCGCGGAGCCGTCGCGGAGCCCCCGGTGCCGTCCCGCCACCGCCCGGTGCCCCGCGCAGCCGCGCCCGGTGCCGGGACACCGCCCCAGGCTCCCGCCGCCCCCGGGACGCCCCAGGGCCCCTCCGGCCACCCCCGACCCCCGTACCGGTGCCGGTAGGAGCCGCCGGTGCCGGTCGGAACCGGCACGGAGCATCCGCCGCTTCCCCTTCCCCTCGGCCGCCCGCCCCCGGCTCGGAACCACCCGGGCGGAGCCAGCGCGGGGAACGGGCGGGGCCGGGGGCGGCGGGACCCCCGGGAATGGCAAACCGGGATCCTAAACCGGGAATGGCCCCGGGAACGGGGCCCCAGGAACGGCCCCGGGATCCCAAACCGGGATCCTAAACCGGGAATGGCCCCGGGAACGGGGCCCCGGGAATGGCAAACCGGGATCCTAAACCGGGAATGGCCCCGGGAACGGAGCCGCGGGAACGGCACCGGGATCCCAAACCGGGAACGGCTCCAGGAACGGCCCCGGGATCCCAAACCGGGATCCCAAACTGGGAACGGCCCCAGGAACGGCCCCGGGATCCCAAACCGGGATCCTAAACTGGGAATGGCCCCGGGAACGGCCCCGGGAACGGCTCCAGGAACGGCACAAGGATCCCAAACCGGGAACGGCCCCGGGATCCCAAACCGGGAACGGCCCCGGGATCCCAAACCGGGATCCCAAACCGGGAACGGCCCCAGGAACGGCCCCAGGAACCCAAACCGGGATCCTAAACCGGGAACGGCCCCGGGATCCCGAGCCGGGAATTGCTCCAGGAATTATCCCGGGAATTGCCCCGGGATCCCGACCCGGGATCCAGCACCGGGAATTGCCCCGGGAATTACGCCGGGAATTGCCCCGGGATCCTGAACTGGGATCCAGCACCGGGAATTGCCCCGGGAATTGCCCCAGGACCGGGACTGGGATCCCGAACCGGGAACTGCCCCGGGATCCAGCGCCGGGACCGGGGTCCTGTCCTGGGGAATCGCCCGGGATCCGGAGCCGGGGGTCCCGCCCCGGGATCCATCCCCGGATCCATCCCGGGATCCATCCCCGGATCCATCCCGGGACCGGCCCCGGGACCCCCGCCCCGGAGGGGGAGGCGGCGGCGGGGGGGGCCCCGGGGGCGCCTCCATCCCGAAATATCCCGGAGCAAATTGGATCAGGGCGGACAAAGCCCAGCTTAGAGCCGGGTTTAGCCGCGGGGGCGGCGCCCACCGGGGCCGGGAGGGGCCCCCGAGCCCGAACACGGGGACACGGCCCCCCCCGGCCGGGCGCTGCCACCGTCGGGGTTTTGGGGACCCTCAAGGTTTTGGGGACCCCCCCAAGGGCAGGATCCCCCCCGCCAGCCGCGGGCCAGATTTTGGCGTGGCCGAAACAGCTGGGCCGGGACAATGGGGGGGGAGGCGGGCACGGCCGGGGGGGACCCTCACCCGCGGGGGGCGGCGCTTGAGGCCCCCCCGCCCCCTGGGGACCCCCCCAATGTGTCCCCCCCCCCCCTTGGGGACGCCCCCCAGACCCCCAGACCCCTCCCCACGCTTGGGCCGTCCCGGGGGTCCCGTTCTGTGGCCCCCCCCCCCAATTCGGGGAGTCCCGGGGGGGTCCCGGGGGGGTCCCGGGGGGTCCGAGGGGGAGGAGACCCCCGGGGGGGGCACGGGGGTCTCGGGGGGGTTTTTGGGGCTCTTACCGGTCCCGGGGCCGGTCCCGGCAGCGCTGAGCGCCCGTCCCGGGTCCAGCATGAGCGGGGGGGCGGACGGGGAGGGCGGGGCTGGGGCGGGGCCACACACCCGAGGGGCGGGGACAGCGTGTGACCTCCCACTCCCCCCCCCCCCAGGGCTGGGACCCATCAAAATGGGGAGGGGGACCCCAAAAAACGAGAAAAACGGCAAAAACCCACAAAAACCAGCAAAAAAACCCAGCAAAAACAGCAGCCCCCCGCCCCCCGTGTGTGTCCCCCAGTTTGGGTGGGTGACACCCCCAAAATGCGGCGGGAGGGGGGGGAACAAACCCCTCCTCCCTTCTTCTTCCTCCCTCCCTCCCCAGGAGGATTTTGGGAGTTTGTTCCCAATTTTGGGGATTTTTGGGGGGGCTGGACAAACTTCCCGGACTTTCCAGGGCTCATCCCGAGGGGAATTCGGGGGTGGGGGCAGAATTTTTTTTTTGGGGGGGGGGGAGCAGTTGGTAAGCCCCCCCCCCAAAAAAAAAAGAAAACAAAAAAAAACCCAAAAAAAATCCCAAATTTTGAGCGCTGGGAGGGGCCAGGGGCCGGAGAAGGGATTTAATGAATTTGGATTTAATTGGAACCAGGCGCGGGGTCAGCTGGGGTGGGCGGGATGAGCTCCCCCCCCCCAATCCATGCGGAATTCCCGCCCCCGGACCCCGGGATCGGGCGGGGCTGTGGAAAAACGGATTGGGAAAAAAAAAAAAGGGGAAAGTGTCCCAACAATCCCGGAAAAATGGATGGGAAAAAGGGGGAAAAAAAGGGAATTGTCCCGACAATCCCAGCCCCGCGAATTCCGGGCGGGAATTTGGGGGAGCCCCCCGAGGGGGAAATGGGAACTGGGAAATGGGAATGGGAAATGGGAATGGGAAATGGGAATGGGACTGGGTGGTGGGGCTGGGATGGGGAACTGGGAAGGAACAGGGACACTGGGGAGGGACAGGGACACTGGAAATGGCACTGGGGAGGGACAGGGACATTGGGGAGGGACAGGGACATTGGAAATGGCACTGGGGAGGGACAGGGACATTGGGGAGGGACAGGGACACTGGGCAGGGACAGGGACACTGGGGAGGGACAGGGACATTGGGGAGGAACAGGGACACTGGGGAGGGACAGGGACACTGGAAATGGCACTGGGGAGGGACAGGGACATTGGGGAGGGACAAGGGACACTGACAGTGATGCTGGCACTGGGAATGGCACTGGGGAGAGACAGTGACACTGGGCAGGGACACTGGCAATGGACATTGATGCTGGCACTGGGAACGGACACTGGCGCGGGGAGGGGACAGGGACACTGGGGAGGGACAGGGACACTGGAAATGGCACTGGGCAGGGACAGGGACACGGGGCAGGGACACTGGCAATGGACAGTGATGCTGGCACTGGGAACGGACACTGGCGCGGGGAGGGGACAGGGACACTGGGGAGGGACACTGGCAATGGACAGTGATGCTGGGAAGTGACAGGGACACGGGGCAGGGACACCGGCACTGGGAAGTGGCCCGGGCAGGGACGGTTGGATGTGCGGGCGCTGTTGAGGCTCTCTGGTGGTGACACCGGGGGGGGCGGGGTTTGGCGTTGGGGACACGAACAGGGGAAGCCCCGTCCCGTCCCCGCCCGCCCCCCCCTTCCTCCTCTTTTCCCGCCGTTCCGCCCCCGCCGGAAGTGGCGCCGCGCGCGCGCTGTGACGTCACCGCGCCCGTCACCGCCCCTCGCCTTCCCGCCATGATCCGCGCGGGGGCGGCCGCCCTGAGGGCCTGGAGCCGGGGCCGGGGCTGGGCCGCGGTGAGAGCGGGGCCGGGAGCGGGGCCGGGAGCGGGGCCGGGCCGGGGGGAGAACGGGCGGGGAGCGGGGCCGGGAGCGGCCGCGGTACCGGGATGGGAACGGGGGGAACCGGGCGGGGGCGGGGCCAGAGCATAGAGGGCGGTGAGCGGGTGGGGCCAGAGCATTGAGGGCTGTGAGTGGGCGGGGTCAGTGCGGTGGGTGCTGTGAGTGGGCGGGGCCATGGCTGAGGGGCGGGGTTGGGGCGGTACCAAGTGGAGCTCGGCCCGGGGGGGGTTCGGGGGTCCCGGCCGGTCCCAGGAGCGGGGCTGGGGGGTGGGCGGGGGTCGTGTCCCCCCTCCCCTCAGTCCGCGGTTGGTCCCGCCCCCCTGGGGACACCTTGGGCATTGTCCCCAATGTCGCCGTCCCGCAGCTCTCGACGGCGCCGCCGGCCCCGCCCGCGACCCCCGAGACCCGCAAAGGTGAGTGCGGGGCTGGGGACACCCTGGGGACATCCTGGGGACAGTGCCAGCGGTTGGGGACATCCTGGGGACATTGGGGAGGTGCTGGGGTCACCCTGGGGACAGCGGAGAGGGGTGGCCTTGGGGATGGGGACAACCGCGACCCTCATGGGGACATCATCGACGGGGCCACCACGGGGTTGGGGACACCTGAATCACCCTGGGGATATCGGAGCTGGCTGCCCGTGCTTTGGGGGATGCCAGCGCCACCCTGCGAGTGTCCCCAGAGGAGCCCCCGGTGCTGAGGAGCTGCAGCGTCCCCGTGCTGTCCCCATCGCCAGTGTCCCCACGTGTCCCCCTGTCCCCAGGCCTGGCCCCAGAGGAGCCCCCGGTGGCGTCCCCGGTGCTGAGGAGCTGCAGTGTCCCCGTGCCGTCCCCGCTGTCCCCCGTGCAGGCCTGGGTGGGGTCCCTGCGCCACCCCCAGGACGCGCTGCGGGGCCTGGCCGACCTGCACCCCGACGTCTTCGCTGTCACCCCCAGGTGGGGACACCCGGGGGGGCTCTGGGGACACACTGGGGACCCTCCCGGGGGCGGCTCTGGGCCAGTGTCCCCCTCCTGTGTCCCCTCCTGTGTCCCCAGGCTGGACATCCTGCACACGGTGGCCACGTGGCAGAGGAACTTCAGGAGGATTGTGAGCGTGGGGAGGGGGATTCGGGGGGAAAAAGGGGGATTTGGGGGCAGAAAATGGGGATTTATGGGGAAACGAGGGGATTTGGGAGCAGAAAATGGGGATTTATGGGGAAAAAAGGGGATTCGGGGTGGCAGGAGAGCATTTAAGGGTGTAAGGGAGGGATTTGGGGGTGCAAAAAGGGGGTTTGAGGGGGCAGAGGAGTTAAGGGGAGGGTCCCAACAGAGCTTCGGGGGGTCCCAGGAAGGGTCTGGGGGCTCTAAGGAGCTTTGGGGGCTCTCAAAACCTCCCTGGGTGCCCTGAGGAGCTCTGGGGGGGCTCCCCAAACCCACTGCAGGTGGGGCTGGGGGGTGACCGTGTCCGTGTGTCTGTCCGTCTGTCTGTCCCCAGAGCCACGCCCGGGTGCGCACCCGAGCCGAGGTGCGGGGCGGGGGGCTCAGGGTGACTCAGGGGGGCTCAGGGGTGACCATGTCCGTCTGTCTGTCCGTGTGTCTGTCCCCAGAGCCACGCCCGGGTGCGCACCCGAGCCGAGGTGCAGGGCAGGGGGCTCAGGGTGACTCAGGGGGGCTCAGGGGTGACCATGTCCATCTGTCTGTCCATCTGTCTGTGTGTCTGTCCCCAGAGCCACGCCCGGGTGCGCACCCGAGCCGAGGTGCGGGGCGGGGGGCTCAGAGGTGACCATGTCCATCTGTCTGTCTGTCTGTCTGTCCCCAGAGCCACGCCCGGGTGCGCACCCGAGCCGAGGTGCGGGGCAGGGGCTCAGGGGTGACCATGTCCATCTGTCTGTCCGTGTGTCTGTGTGTCTGTCCCCAGAGCCACGCCCGGGTGCGCACCCGAGCCGAGGTGCGGGGCGGGGGGCTCAGGGTGATTCAGGGGGGCTCAGGGGTGACCATGTCCGTCTGTCTGTCCATCTGTCTGTCTGTCTGTCCCCAGAGCCACGCCCGGGTGCGCACCCGAGCCGAGGTGCGGGGCGGCGGCCGCAAGCCCTGGCGGCAGAAAGGCTCCGGGCGCGCCCGGCACGGCTCCATCCGGTCCCCGCTGTGGAGGGGAGGTGAGAGACACCAAAAACCAGGGGACAGGGACAGGAGGGTCGGGGGAAACAGCCTGGGAGTGGGGACAGGGGGGTGGGAATGGGGACACGGGGCTGGGGACAGGGACACAGGGCTGGGGACACTCTGGGGACATCATGGGGATGTCTGGGACTGCCCTGAGGGACCACCCTGTGACACCCTGGGGACATCAGGAACCACCCTGGGGACACCCAGGACCACCCCAGGACCACCCTGGGGACACCCAGGACCATCCTGGGGACACCAGGCCTGGCTGCCCCCATTGCTCTGGGGTCTCTGGGGACACCCTGGGGACACCCAGGACCGCCCTGGGGACATCCTGGGGACACCCAGGACCACCCTGGGGACATCCTGGGGACACCCAGGACCGCCCTGGGGACACCAGGCCCGGCTGCCCCCTCGGCCTGGCCCACGGGGGTGTCCCCTGCCCGGGGCTGTCACCGAGTCCCCTCCTGGCAGGTGGCATCGCCCATGGCCCGCGGGGCCCCACCAGCTACTTCTACATGGTGCCCATGAGGGTGCGGGTGCTGGGGCTGAAGGTGGCCCTGAGCATGAAGCTGATGCAGGTACGGGGGGGCCCGGGCGGGCCGGGGGCGCCCGGGGCTGGGGACAGGGTGACAACGGCCCCGGTGTCCCCCAGGACGAGCTGCACCTGGTGGAGAGCCTGGAGCTGCCCAGCAGTGACCCCCAGGAGCTGCTGGAGCTGGCACGGGCACGGCGCTGGGGACACTCGGTGCTGGTGGTGGACACGTGAGAGAGGGGACACGGCTGGGGACATTGGGGACAGGGATGGGGACGTGGGGACAGGGATGGGGACATTGGGGACACTTTGGGGACAGGGCTGGGGACATGGGGACAGGGCTGGGGACATTTGGGACAGGGCTGGGGACACTCGGTGCTGGTGGTGGACACGTGAGAGAGGGGACACGGCTGGGGACATGGGGACAGGGCTGGGGACACTGGGGACACTGGGGACATGGGGACGTGGGGACATGGGGACAGGGCTGGGGACAGGGCTGGGGACGTGGGGACACTGGGGACAGGGCTGGGGACATGGGGACACTGGGGACATGGGGACAGGGCTGGGGACATGGGGACAGGGCTGGGGACATGGGGACACTGCGGACATGGGGACAGGGCTGGGGACACTGGGGACAGGGCTGGGGACATGGGGACACTGCGGACATGGGGACAGGGCTGGGGACATGGGGACAGGGCTGGGGACGTGGGGACACTGGGGACAGGGCTGGGGACACTGGGGACATGGGGGACACTGGGGACATGGGGACAGGGCTGGGGACACGGCTGGGGACATGGGGACAGGGATGGGGACATGGGGACAGGGATGGGGACACTGGGACAGGGCTGGGGACACTGGGACAGGGCTGGGGACATGGGGACAGGGCTGGGGACAGGGCTGGGGACATGGGGACAGGGATGGGGACACTGGGCACAGGGCTGGGGACATGGGGACACTGGGGACATGGGGACAGGGTTGGGGACATGGGGACAGGGCTGGGGACAGGGCTGGGGACATGGGGACAGGGCTGGGGACGTGGGGACAGGGCTGGGGACATTGGGGACAGGGCTGGGGACATTGGGGACACTGGGGACATGGGGACGGGGCTGGGGACATGGGGACAGGGATGGGGACACTGGGCAGAGGGCTGGGGACATTGGGGACAGGGCTGGGGACATTGGGGACAGGGCTGGGGACATGGGGACAGCGCTGGGGACATGGGGACAGGGCTGGGGACATGGGGACACTGGGGACATGGGGACAGGGCTGGGGACATGGGGACAGCGCTGGGGACACTGGGGACACTTTGGGGACACTGGGGACAAAGGGAATGGGATGTTCATGAAGCTGGGGACACCCTGGGGACATCACGGATAGATCGCCACGAGCCTGGGGACACCAGGCCTGGGTGTCCCTTGCTGTGGGGACACCCCGGGAACACTTTGGGGACACCCTGGGGACACTTTGGGGACACTTCAGGGACACTCCAGGGACACTTTGGGGACTCCCCATCCCTTTTCCCCCCCAGCAATGAATTCCCAGAGAACATCAGCGCCGCGGCCGAGGGGCTCAAATCCATCACCCTCATCCCTGCCCTGGGTGAGCCCCAGTGCCCTCGCTCTGACCCCCCCAAACCCCACCCAGAGACGCTCTGGGGACCCCGCTGGCGTCCCCAATGTGTCCCCAACGTGTCCCCAACGTGTCCCCACCCGTCCCCACGCAGGGCTCAACGTGCACAGCCTGCTCAAGCACCGGACGCTGGTGCTGACCCTGGACGCCGTCACCTTCCTGGAGCAGCGGCTGCTGTGGCACGACTCGCGCTACGCGGCCCTGGTGCCCCTCTCGCTGCCCCACCGGGACCCCCCCCCGGCTGCCTGAGCCCCCCTTGGGTGGGATTGGCCCCTCCTGGGTGGGATTGGCCCCTCCTGGGTGGGATTGGCCCCCTCTGGGTGGGATTGGCCCCTCCTGGGTGGGATTTGCCCCCCTCAGGTGTGGAATTTGCCCCCCCCCAGGTGTGGGATTTGCCTCCCCAGGTGTGGGATTTGCCCCCCTCAGGTGTGGGATTTGCCCCCCCCGGATGAGATTTGCCCCCCCCGGATGGAATTTGCCCCTCCTGGGTGGGATTTGCCCCCCTCAGGTGTGGAATTTGCCCCCCCCCAGGTGTGGGATTTGCCTCCCCAGGTGTGGGATTTGCCCCCCTCAGGTGTGGGATTTGCCCCCCCCGGATGAGATTTGCCCCCCCCGGATGGAATTTGCCCCTCCTGGGTGGGATTTGCCCCCCCAGACCGGATCCAGCCCCCCCAGCCGGGAATTCGGGGCTGTCGGGCGCTGCTGTGGCCGTTAAAGGGATTTTTTTTCCATTGTTGTTGTTTTTATTTTGGGCGGAATCAGGGGGCTCCCGCCTCCTTTTGGGGCTCCCCCCGTACCCCAATCCCTCTGGGGTCCCCCCCCAAGCTCCAGCTCCTCCATCCCAGCCCCCTCCCCAATATCCCGACCCCTTTTGGAGCCCCCCCCCTGAATCCCAAACCCTTTTCCAGCCCTTCCTCCTCCTCCTCCTCCTCACCGCAGGTTTTCCCACGGGTTTTGTCCTTTTGGGTGGAATTTGGGGGATTTCAAGGTCGTGGTGGCAGAGGGATTTTCATTTGTGTGTCCCCAAGTGTCCCCAAGTGTCCCCCAGTGTCCCCCTCTCCTCCCACACCTCGGGAAGGTGGGAGCCGGAAAAGGAGGAAATTCGGGAAGAACAAATTCTGACCTCACCCAATTCCTGGGAAATTCGGAGCGGGGGAAAACGTGGGAATGCCGAGAGGCCCCGCTGGGAGGGGGGGTCAAGGTTCTGGGGGAATTTTGGGGGTCCCGAGGGGAATTTTAGGGATCCCCGTGTTCCTCTTGGGGTCCCGGGGGTGCTGGCGCCGGTTTTGGGGGAAAAAATCGGGAAATTGGGAATTCTGAGGGGGCCAGGGACGCAACTGGGGGGGAACTGGGGCGCAGCTGGGAGGAGCTGGGACCTTCCTGGGTGTCCGGGTATCCCCAGGAGCCGCTGGAATTCCGCACCTTCCTCCTCCTCCTCCTCCTCCTCCTCCTCCTGGGTTTTTTCCGGGGGTCTCCCGGCCGTGCCCATCCCCATCCCGGTGATTTTCGGGGGGTTTCCCCCGTTTTTTCCGGTTTTTTCCCGGTTTTTTTCCCCAATTCCGGGAATCACTCCCGGCTCTGGGGCAAATCCGGAGCCGCTTCCTGAGGCGACAGGAGGGGACAGGAGGGGACAGGGGGGGACAGGAGGCGACAGGAGGGGACAGGGGGGGACAGGGGGGGACAGGGGGGGACAGGGACACAGAGAGGCCGCAAATGGGGCTGGGGGGGGACACGGGGACACCCCCGGGAACCACCGGGGACAGCCCAGGGCACGCAGGGGGGATCAGGAAGAGGCCGGAGGGGACGGGGCCCCTGGCGGACGGTGACAATGGCACGGTGACAATGGCACGGTGACAATGGCACGGTGACAATGGCACGAGGGACGCTGGCCCCGGGCCACGTCCTGCGGGGGAAGGTGGCGGTGGCAGGGGTGGCGCGTCCTGTTGACTCGGAGCTGGCAGCGCCTTTGTGTCCCCTCTGTCCCCAGCCCTGCTGCCCCTGACCCCAGCGTTCCTGTTGTCCCTGCTGTCCCTGTCCTGTGTCTCCCCTGTCCCCCCATTCCCCCAGGCCCTTGGAATTCCATCCCCGTGTCCCTGTCCCCGTGTCCCTGTCCCCGGTGTCCCCGTGCCTCCCGTGGCCTCCAAACCGCGGCCAGGCCCGCGGGAGGCTCCCGGCATTCCCGAAATTCCAGGGACAGGGACAGTGCAGGGAATGGCGGTGGGGATGGGGCTGGGCACGGTGGGGATGTGACAGCCTCGGGCTGCACAAGGGAAACTGTGACAAATGTCACCGGCCTGGCGGCCCGGAGGTGACAGAAGGGAGGGTGGCAGGGCTGGGTGCCACCACTGGGGACACCCTGGGGACATCAGGGATGGGTGCCCTGGGGCTGGAGCCACCCTGGAGCCACCCTGGGGACACCCTGGGGACATCAGGGATGGGTGCCCTGGGGCTGGGGACACACTGGGGACATCAGGGATGGGTGCCCTGGGGCTGGGGACACCGTGGGGACACCGTGGGGACATCAGGGATGGGTGTCCTGGGGCTGGGGACACCCTGGGGACACCCTGGGGACATCAGGGATGTTTCCCACGGTGCCAGGGGTGACAAAAAGTCCCCTGATGTCAAAAAGCGACAGAATAGAGGAAGTCGCAGCCCTGGTGACAGCAGCACCCAATCAATGGTGGCCTCTGGAGCCACCGCCGGGGGTGACAGGCGGGTGACAGGCGGGTGACAGCCCCGTCACGAGCTGGGGGTGGCACTTCAGGGCCTGGGGGCTCCGAGCTGAGGAACCCCCCCGGTTTGGGGGCACAGGGTGACAAGGAGGGGACAAGGGGGGACGGGGCAGGAGGGAAAGAGGGGCAGGGAAATTGTCCCATCCTGGGGCAGGGGACAGGGAAATTGTCCCATCCTAGGGCAGGGACAGGGAAATTGTCCCATCCCGGGACAGGGGGACAAGAATTGCCCCGGGGGTGGGGCAGGAGAGGCCGGAGCCCTCCCCGGGCAGCCCCGCGGGCCCCGGCGCGAGTCCCCGCAGCCCCGGAAATCCCCGGGGGCGGGACGGGCACGGGCCGGGGATAAAAGCGGCGGCGGGCGGACAGACAGACGGACAGAGAGGGGAACGCACGCAGGGACGCGCCCGGAGCCGACCCGGAGACCCCGACACGGACGGAGCCGGAACAGCCCCAAAGGACCCGTCCCGGAGAGCCCGAACCGAACCTGCCCGGAGAGCCCGAACCGAACCTGCCCGGGGAACCTGAACCGAACCTTCCCGGGGAGCCCGAACCGAACCTGCCCGGAGAGCCCGAACCGAACCTGCGCGGGGAACCCGAACCGACCCATCCGGAGAACCTGAACCGAACCTGCCCAGAGAGCCCGAACCGAAACTGCCCGGGGAACCCGAACCGAACCTGCCCGGGGAACCTGAACCGAGACTGCCCGGGGAACCCGAACCGAAACTGCCCGGGGAACCTGAACCGACCCATCCGGAGAATCCGAACCGAAACTGCCCGAGGAACCCGAACCGAACCTTCCCGGGGAGCCCGAACCGAAACTGCCCGAAGAGCCCGAACCGAACCTTCTGGTGCTCCCGGGCAACCCGAACCGACCCATCCGGAGAACCCGAACCGAACCCTCCCGAGGTCCGGACCGGCCCCAGATCCAGCCCAGAGACCCTGAACGCGCCGACGCCCGCCGGGCCCCCCCCCGCCTCCCCCGGTGTTCCCGGCGCGCCCCCCGGCCCCGGGAGCGGCCGCCCCCGCCGCGATGGCGGCCCCCGCTCTGCTGGCGCTGGCCCTGGGCGCCCTGGGCGCCGCGGCAGGTGAGGGCACCGAGCAGGCACCGGGCACCGGGCACCGGGCACCGGGCACAGCGCGGGCGGCACCGGGCACCGGGCACCGGGCACCGGGCACCGGGCACCGGGCACCGGGCCGGCCCCGCCGCGGGATGGAGCGGGGGGTTCTGTTGAATTCTTGCGAAATCCCGAAAAGCCGTCGGGATTTTTCTGCCCCCGTCCCTCCGTCCCTCCCTTGCTGAGCCCATTCCGGGAAAGGGAGGGACGGTCCTTGCTCAGGGGGGCCGGAAAATCGCGGCCCCGCCGGGGAATCCCCCCGGCCTCGGGCGGGGACTCGGCCCGGGGGGCTCCCGAGGGCCCGCGGGGGCTTCCGCAGCAATTCTGGGGCTTCCTCTGCACTTTTGGGGGCTTGCTCCGCATTTTGGGGGCTTCCTCAGCACTTTTGGGGGCTTGCTCCGCATTTTGGGGGGCTTCTTCCCCATTTTTGGGGCTTCCTCCGCATTTTTGGGGGTTTCCTCTGCACTTCTGGGGGCTTCTTCCACACTTTTGGGGGCTTCCTCCGCACTTTTGGGGGCTTCTTCTGCATTTTTAGGGGCTTCTTCCACACTTTTGGGGGCTTCTTCCGCATTTTTGGGGTTTCCTCTGCACTTTTGGGGGCTTCCTCCGCACTTTTGGGGGCTTCTTACACATTTTTGGAGCTTCCTCCGCACTTTTGGGGGCTTCCTCCGCACTTTTGGGGGCTTCTTCCGCATTTTTAGGGGCTTCTTCCACACTTTTGGGGGTTTCCTCCGCACTCCTGGGGGCTTCCTCCACATTTCTGGGGGTTTCCTCTGCAGTTTTGGGGGTTTTTTCTCGGCTTTCCCTGCACTTTGGAGCCCACTCAGTCACCCTGGGGGGTTTCCTCTGCTTCCTGTGGGAGCCTCACCCGAATTTTGGGGGCTTCCTCAGCACCTCGGTGACGTCGGCCGGGGGTGTTTTGCTGGGAAAACACCGAAATTCAGCCTGGGAGATTCCCCCACCCCCAAACTGCTCCAGGAACTGAGAATCCTGGCTGAGGAAGCTCCCGAGGTGCACACAGGACCCCCAGGCCCCCCCAGGAACCCCCGAGATTTCTGGATTCCTTCTCCACGAGGAGCTCAGGGGTGCCTGGGTCTGATTTTTGGATTTTTTGGCCCCCGTGTGGGGCCAGGTGTGGCATTCTGGAGTCAGGGCTGGGGTTTTGTCCTGGTGGATGAAGGGTGGGAAATTGATGCATTGATAGGAAAACGAACCATTTGTTAAGGTAAACCTCTAGACAAAAGGGTTTAGTCAGAATTATTTCCTGTGTGGGATAGAAGATTGGATTATTAGTATGGGATGGGATGGAATTTTCTAGCCATTTATTTAAAACTGATTTTATAGGGATTTTGGGGATTTCACAGGGATTTAGTTCAGGCTCCTTTCAGCACAACCCTCCCGAGCTACCCCACCCCATCCCAGGGCTGGTCTCCTGCTGTTTTCCCCGTTTTTCCCTGTTTTTCCCCGTTTCCCCCCGTTTTTCCCCATTTTTCCCCGTTTTTCCCCGTTTTTCCCTGTTTTCCCCGTTTCCCCCCGTTTTTTCCCCGTTTTTCCCCGTTTTTCCCCGTTTTTCCCTGTTTTCCCCCATTTTTCCCCGTTTTTCCCCATTTTTCCCCGTTTTTCCCCGTTTTTCCCCGTTTTTCCCCGTTTTTCCCCATTTTCCCCTGTTTTTCCCCATTTTTCCCCGTTTTTCCCCGTTTTTCCCCCATTTTCCCACCATGGCTCACCCCAATGTCCCCTCCCCATGCCAGTGCCCCCCGAGGGTCCCTTCATGTCCCTGTCAACCTCGGACCCGATGGTGAGGAAGCCCTTCAAGGTCACCTGCAGCAGCGCCGTCCCCGCCACCAACGTCACCATCACCGCCAACGACCGCGTGTGGCCGGTGGCACTGAGCCGGGACGGCCTCCAGGCCACCGCCGAGGTCACCGTAACCGAGGAGGGCGATGCCCGGCTGGGCTGCACCGTCCTCGTGGGCAGCAGGAAGCTCCAGACCGGCCGCACCGTCCCGGTCTTCTGTGAGTGCCCCCGGTGCCACCGCGGTGCCACCAAACCCCAGCCCTGCGAGAGGAATTCCCTGGTTGTCACCACACGGTGCTGTCACCCGCAGATGTCCCCATGCCGCTGTTGGACGTCGCCAACGCCACCGAGGCTGGCACGGAGCTGAGGGGAAGGTGCTCCATGCCGCCTGAAGCCGGCAGTGACGTCCAGGTGAGGGTGGTGGCACATGGCCCAGGGGACCTGGTGGATTTTACAAAGCCCCCGGTGAACTTCAGCCTGACCGCGACGGAGGAGGACGCGGAGGGGGAGCTGGTGGTGACCTGTGAGGCCAGGATGCCTCCCTACTCCTCGAGGAGCAAATCCCAGCGGATCCGTGTGCTGGGTGAGAGCCGCTGCGTGCCCGGCCCCTGGGCCTCCTTTTCCTGGTCCCCATCCCTCCTTTTCCTTGTCCTTATCCCTCCTTTTCCTTGTCCCCATCCCTCCTTTTCCTTGTCCCCATCCCGGCTTTTCCTGGTCCCCATCCCGGCTTTTCCTGGTCCCCATCCCTCCTTTTCCTTATCCCCATCCCTCCTTTTCCTTGTCCCCATCCTCCTTTTCCTGATGCTTATCCCTCCTTTTCCTTGTCCCCATCCCTCCTTTTCCTGGTCCTTATCCCAGCTTTTCCCGGTCCCCATCCCTCCTTTTCCTGGTCCTTATCCCACTTTTTCCCGGTCCCCATCCCAGTTTTTCCTGATCCTTTTCCCTGCTTTTCCCGCAGTCAAACCACGGCTGGACATCGAGCTGTGCCCCCCGCAGCAGAACTGGACAGAGGGGCAGGAGGGGACCCTGAACTGCAGCGCCAAGGGCACACCTGAGCCGCGGGTGAGCTGTTCCAAGGACGGGCATTCCCTCATCCCTGGCTCCATCCGCCCGGTTTACCGCGCCCACGCCGGCACCTACCTGTGCCAGGCCACCAACGAGCTGGGGACAGCCGAGCTCAACGTCACCGTCTGGGTGCAGGGTGCGTCGGGGCCCGGGGGCTGCTGGGGCTGCTGGGGCTCCGGGGGCTGCTGGGGGTCTTTGGGGGGTTTGAGCTTCTGGGGTCTTTGGGATATTTTGGGTTCTTGGGGTCTTTGGGGGTTTTGGGCTCTTGGGGGTCTTTGGGGTTTTTGGGCTTCTGGGGTCTTCGGGATATTTTGGGTTCTTGGGGGTCTTTGGGGGTTTTGGGCTCCTGGGGGTCTTTGGGATATTTTGGGTTCTTGGGGGTCTTTGGGGGTTTTGGGTTCTTGGGGGTCTTTGGGGTTTTTGGGCTCCTGGGGTCTTCGGGATATTTTGGGTTCTTGGGGGTCTTTGGGGGTTTTGGGCTCTTGGGGGTCTTTGGGGGTTTTGGGCTCCTGGGGGTCCGTGGGGTATTTTGGGTTCTTGGGGTCTTCGGGATATTTTGGGCTCCTGGGGTCTTTGGGATATTTTGGGTTCTTGGGGGTCTTTGGGGGTTTTGGGTTCTTGGGGGTCTTTGGGGTTTTTGGGCTCCTGGGGGTCTTTGGGATTCTGGAGGTCTTGGGGCTTCTGGGGGTCGTGGGGGGTCTCAGCTCCTGGAGATCTTGGAGGCCTTTGGGGTTTTTGGGCTCCTGCTGGTGCTGGGTTTTTTTGGGGATATTGGGGGTCCTGGGTGGCCTTTGGGGTTTTTGGGCTCCTGGTGGTCCCGGGGCACAGCAGCGCCCTCCCCACTGACCCCGGCCCCGTTTCCCCCCAGATGTCTCGGATGTCTCGGTGCCGCTGCTCCCGGTGCTCCTGGGGACGCTGCTGCCGGTGGCCGCCGTCCTGCTGATCCTGGCCGGGGGCTACTGGCTCTACCGCCAGGGCAAGATCGGCGAGTACCGGCTCTGGAAGCGGCAGCCGCCGCCGGACGCGCAGCCCCTGCGGCCCCAGGGCAGCTCCCAGGCGGCCGCGGCCGCTCCCAACGGATGCGCGGCCCCGTAGGCGGGGAGAGGCCGTGGAGGGGCGGGGAGCCCCTGCCCGTCCCTCCGCCGCGGCCACCGAGGGGACGGCGACAGCGGGCACCGGCCAGGGCCGAGCGGTGGATGCGGCTCCCAGGGATGAATGGAGATGGACTGGGATGGACCGGGATGGACTGGGATGGACGGAGATGGACTGGGATGGACCGGGATGGACTGGGATGGACCGGGATGGTGAGACCCAGCCGGGCCCCGGCGTGGATCTCCGGGTTTCGCTCCAGATTTTATCCCTCGAACGTTTTTTGGGGTGGATTTGGTGACTCTGGAGGTCGCGGAGCTGCCCGGGCGGAGCATCCGGGTTGCATCCCGCGCATTTCGGAGCTGGCGGGGGGACAGGAGCAGGAGGGAGGGGACAGAGAGGCGACAGTGGCGCGTCCCACCAATAAACGCTGCAGGTGACATCCACCGGGGCCAGCGCTCTGCGGTTCCGGGGCTTTTCCCGGAGCCCGGGCCGGGCAGGGGCACGGGGGGGGGGGACCGCCCCCATGTCCCGCCCGGCGGGGCCATCGCCGGTGTCCCGGTGTCCCCCGCCCCCGGCGCTCCCGTCGGTCGCTGCCGCTTCGCCCACGCGCGGCCCGGAGCCGCCCACGCGGGGAGGGCTCCGGGGGCGTTCGGGGAGGGGCTTTTGGGGGGGGGGGGGCGTTCGTGAAGCGCCGAGCACCGGGCGGGGGTGGGGGGACTGGGGGGGGGGGGGGTCGGCGTGGGCGGGGGGAGGAGCAGCCCCGCGGGACCGGCGGCGCGCGCGGCAGCGGAGGAGCCGCCTTCGGCCTCGGCCGCCGCTTCCTCCTCTCCCTCATCCTCCTCTTCCTCTTCTCCCTTCCCCATCCTCCTCCGCTTCATCCCCGTCCTCCTCTTCCTCTTCCCCCCCCCCCCCCGGCACTCCCCGTCGCCTGCGTCCTCCTCCGCTTCATCCCCATCCTCACCCTCATCCTCCTCCTCCGCTTCATCCCCTCCCCATCCTCATCCCCCTCCCCATCCTCATCCCCCTCCCCATCCTCATCCCCCTCGCCATCCTCATCCTCCTCGCCGTCTCCATCCTCCTCCTCATCCTCCCATTCTCCCCTCCCTCCTCGCCGTCTCCCTCCTCCTCCGCTCCATCCCCGTCCCCATCCTCCTCCTCCTCTTCCTCCCCACCCTCCTCCTCCTCTCCCGATGGGCCCCCCCGGCCCGGCCACGCGGCTCTTGCCCCCCCTCGTTCTGGCGCTCGCAGGTAAAGGGGGGGGGGGGCTCGAGGGGTTTTTTGGGGGGGGACCCTCCAAAATGGGGAGGGGGCGTCTCTGAGGATCCCAAAAAACAGCGACCATTCATTGGAGGAGAGGAGAGGAGGGGGAGGAGCCCGAAATCAGCACCGACTTTTATTGGGGGAGGGGAGGGGGGGGACACGACCCTGGGGACCCCCAGAGACCCCCCCCAAAACACCCGAGGCCCTTTAGTGATGGGGGGGGCACACAGGAACCCCCAATTCCATAGCGGGGACCCTTAGGACTGGGGGGGGGTCACGCGCAGGGACCCCACAAGCCCCAAATCAGAGGCACCTTTAGGGCTGGGGCGTTGGGGACACACGGGGGGTCTCAGTCCAGGTTCCCCGGGGTCCCCCCAGCCGGACCCGGGGGGACACTGCCCGTGCTGGGGTCTCGCAGGGGTCGCCCGGGGCACCTTCACGGTGGCGGCCTGGCCGCGGGTGGCCGTGGTGGCCTTCGGGGGCTCGGTGACCGTCAACTGCAGCCGCAGCGCCTGCCCGGGGGACAACGCCACGCTGGGGCTCGAGGCCGCCCTGCCCGCGACCCCCGGGCCCGGGGGGCTCCGCTGGCAAAGCTTCCGGCTCCACAACGTGTCCCGCTGGAGCCCCGGCCCCGTCACCTGCTCCGGCCGCTGCGGCGCCGCCGAGGCCAACGCCAGCGCCGGCGTCCTCGTCTACCGTGAGTGCCCTGGGGAGCCCTTGGGGAGCCCTTGGGGAGCCCGAGGTGGCACCGGCTCCGTCCTCAGAGCTGCCGGAGCGGGTGGAGCTGGAGCCGGTGCCGGCGGCGGCCGTGGGGGACAGCCGGAACCTGACGTGCCGCGTGCGGGAGGTGGCCCCGCTGCAGAACCTGACGGTGACGCTGCGGCGCGGGGCCGAAACGCTGCGCACCGAGAGCTTCGGCCACGCCGAGGGCAGCGCCAGCGTGGCCGTGAGCCACCTGCTGACCGTCACCCGCGGCGACCACGGCCAGGACGTCACCTGCCACGCCGAGCTGTCCCTGCGGCCGCACGGGCCCCTGTTCGCCCGCGCCGCTGTCCCCGTCACGCTCTCGGTGTTCGGTGAGCGGCGGCCGCGGCGTCCTCGTGTCCTTGTCGCCATCGCGGTGACCTCGCTGTCACCCCCGCGGCCATCGGGACCCCGTCCCTGCCTCTGGGGATGTCCCAGTGTCACCGTGTCCCCGTCCCGGTGACCCCGCGTCCCCCCCCGTGTCCCCCGCAGCTCTCCCGGAGCCCCCCCAGCTCCAGGCCCCCGCCATCCTCGAGGCCGGCGCCGTGGCCAACGCCAGCTGCCGCATCAGCGGCGCCTTCCCGGCCGGCGACGTCCGTGTCACGGCCGCGCTGGACCAGGAGCCGCTGAACGTCACGGCGGCGGTGGCCGGGGACACGGTGACGGCCAGCACGGCGCTGTCCCCGCGCAGCCCCGGCCCGCGGGAGCTGAGCTGCACGGCCGCGGTGGCCACGACGGCGCGGACGGCGCGGAGGCAGCTCCACGTTTACCGTAAGGCGCCGGGGAGGGGGCGGCGGGGGCACCGCGGGACCCCGAGATGGCCTCGGATCCATCCGTGGGACGTTCCCGCAGGATTCCCCGCGCCCGCCCTGGAGCTGAGCCCGGCCCCGGCCGCGGCGGGCAGCGAGGTGACGGTGACGTGCCACGCCGGGGCCACCGAGCCGCCCGAGGCGCGGCTGCAGCTCCGCGACGCGGACGGCGGGGTCCTGGCCGAGGGCCCGCAGCCCCGGCTGCAGCTCCGGCTGCTGGCCCGGCGCGACGACGACGGCCGCGAGTTCCGGTGCCGGGCCCGCCTGGCGGTGGGCGGCAGCGTGGTGACCAAGGACGCGGCCGCGCGGCTGGCGGTGCTGTGTGAGTGTCGCGCCAGCCGCGGCCCCGCCCGCCCCTCCCGGCATTCCCCAAATCCCTTCTTTTCTCCCCAGATCTTCCCGAAATCCCGGCCAGCGGCTGCCCCGGTAACCGCACGTGGGTGCGGGGGAGCGCGGGAAGCGCTGTCCTGCCGCGCCACCGGCAACCCCGAGCCCACCGTGGTGTGCGGCCGCGACGGCGTCGCCGTGGCCACCGGCGAGCCCGAGCCGGTGACCCGGTCCCGCGCGGGGACCTACGTGTGCAACGCCACCAACGCGCTGGGGACGCGCAGCCGCCGCGTCACCGTCCGCGTGGAGTGTGAGTGGCGCCGGGGCCGGGGCCCGGGGTCCCCTCGGCGGCCGCCGCGGTGACCGCGCGGCCTCTGTGTGTCCCCCCCTCAAGATGAGCCCACGATGTCCGAGTCGGGGTGTCCGGCACGCCGCGTCTGGGTGGAGGGACAGCGGCGGGAGCTGGAGTGTCGCGCCGACGGGGACCCCCCGCCCAGCACGCGCTGTGCCCGCGACAGCGGCCCCCGAGACGGCGGCACTCGAGATGGTGGCACTGGAGACGGTGGCACTCGGGATGGTGGCACTCGGGATGGTGGCATTCACCACGGTGTCCCCCGAGACGGTGGCAGCCACCACGGCGGGGCCGCCCGCGGCCGCGTGGTCACCCGGGCCGATGGCGGCCGCTACGTGTGCAGGGCCAGCAACAGGCACGGGGTGGCCGTGCGGAGCGTCCTTGTCACCGTGGAGTGTGAGTGTGACACCGGCGAGGGGACACCGGGGTGCGCCGGGGGCGGGGGGACACAGGGGTGTCACAGGGGTGGGACAGGGAGCTGGGGACACAGGGGTGTCACAGGGGTGGGACAGGGAGCTGGGGACACAGGGGTGTCACATCCATGCCCGGAATGCCAGAGCCGTGCCGGGATGGATGGGATGAGGATGAGGATGGGGATGGGATGGGGATGA